CACCCAACTCCCCGCAACTATCCTCGCCCAAATCCCCCAGCCCACTTCTCAACCACCACCTCCCTCTGCAGGCCCATCCTTCGATGAAGCCTTCTCCTCTTTCACTGCAGAGGTGAGAGACCTTATCACCACCTTTCCCATCCCCCTATATACATCCACCACCACCACCATGCCACCACCAACTTTATCTTCCACCACAGAGTTCACCACAAGAGCTGACTTGTGAGCTCTGTCAAAGGCGCTAGTCTCATCTTTTAACGAGATCAGTGCCAAATTTGTTCATCGGGCCACTCGTCCAATAATGGTTCTCTCCCAGAACCTGGCCGATGAACCACGGCGCACAACTTCCGTCCTCCAAACAATGGAGGCGAGTCAACGATAGACCTCCCTGAAGGCATACCTTGCTACCTTCAGGAAGGAACACAAGAAGAAGAGGACAAGAGCCTCTTGCTCAAGCAGCCGCCCACATAAGAGGCCTAGGCATGACGACCAAGACCCCGATGATCAAGGTCTTGGACCTCATGAGGGGGAGACACAGGCCACGGCTGCACAACAAACTGAATCCGTTGCACCACCATCACCATCACCACAACCACCACCCTCAACAGAAGGAACCCAGGCAAGGGAACCAGAGGCTCTGCCCTCTGAAGATGTATATATACAAGTTTCCTTCGCTGCAACCCAAGAGCCCATCGTGTTGAGCTCTTCAACCGATGAAGAACCTACTACCCCACTAACACAACTTAACCAACCTCTTCCTTCAACACCCACATCAAACCTACCCTTAACCCCTTCATCAACACCTCGCACCACTCAACCCTTCACCTTATCCACACAATCAGAACCAATGATACCTCAACCTTCATCACCCCAACAACAACAAACCCCAACCGAATCCCATGCACCAGAAACCACCCAAGTCGAACCCGATGAACCCCAACCAACCCAACCTGAACCAACACCAACCTATACACAACCCACAACCCAAACACCCATGGTGCATGCGGATGCTCCTTCTTCATCAAGGCAACCTCCTCAGAGCTTGGTTGACGAAATAATACAGAGCATGGAGTCAATGAGGAGACGTCCTGATTTGCCGTCCAGGGAACCAATTTTGCTAGAGAACATCGATCAATATCTATACCAAGACTGCGATGACAGTTTGACTATCAACCCTCCAATCTTATCGTCTGAGTCCATGGACCTCCTACACCATAGATTCATTAGACAGACCAATCAAGCACCTCAGGCTGTCTTCTCGAATGATGGGATAAACAGGGTCATTGATCTGAAAATAAGTATATTTTCCAACCGAGCCATCCGATACATCGAGTTCACTGTGGAGAGAGCACATGGGCTAGTTTGCATGTTCAACGAGAACGACCTCATTAACCTCAACCCATATGACTTGATTGAGTTATATGCATATACGGCTCAGAGGCAAGACCACGGCATCAGATATGGAATGGCAAACCGAGCGGTGGTAAAGACGATGGAAACCCTGGTGAACCACAGAGCCAAGAGTTATTTTGAAACAGGTCTTTGGCTAGGCATTGAAAGACTCTCTTGCACCCCTTCAAACGAAGACTTCCAAGGCCTGCAGGAGATACGATCTTCCTCAGTTCTAACTCAACCCGAACTTGGACTTGTATACAAGAATGAGTTCGGGATTAAAAAGTTCTTTAGACTGACTGAGGCCTTCAAGTATTCATCGGATACACTTGAATGGTTTCAGAAAGTCATTCGAGAGAGACTGGGCAGACACTATGTGCCGAGAGAAAAAGGGAATCGACTCATTCCCGAGATATCGACCGTCATCGGATATCGAAGACTGCTCATGCGCTTTAGAGAGATATATTTAGGTAGCTCGTGATGAGTTGTATTTTTGTTTTGCCTTGATGTATTTTGATTCCAGTATTGTATGAATTTCATCATCCAATGAAAATTTGGAATCTGATGTCTTTCAATTAGATTAGCATCTGTTCATCACCAATGTTTCTAGATTAGCATATGTTTGTCTTTTCATTACTTAGGGGGAGATTGTTAAACCCCATAACTCATAATGTAAAATGTAATGAAAAACAATAAGTGATGAAGAACAAGAAGACCGATGAAGATATAAAAGCAGAAACGGCTAAGTCTGGAGTACAACCAGAGAACCGATGGACGACCTGGGATGCGATGGAAAGAGCATCCTCATCGATCCTCTGGTCATCAACACTTAGAGTATTCTCCAACAAATCATCCAGAAGCATACGATGAAGATTTAAAGATAAGAATGATTCATCACACCATGAATGACAGCTGGAGATGACATGTTGACAACTAGACTTCAAGTTTATCTCTAATATTAAAACTCATCAATAGAGTAGATAAACGTTATCTGTTAATAGAAGATTAGCTACAAAGTCTCATTAAATAGTTATCTTCTTAGCTAATTAATATAAATAGGTGATTGGGCCTATTGTAAAAAGAGTCGCTTAAGTTGCTTTTACGTTTTTCATATATATAAAGTGAAATATTTGACGCTCAAAATTGTTCTTAATTGTTTATAATTCATTCTTGAGTGTTCATCACTTTGTTCATAAAATCACTATAATTTAATTATTATTAACTAGATTATTAGTGTTATTGAGAGATCTGAAATTAACACATAATAAATAGTAAAATAGAATAAAATCATATTTATCTATAGTGCTATGTGTTCCTTCACATATGAAAACTAAGTACCAAAAATTCATTGACCTGATATAAATTCGTCACGAACTTGGTAATTTGCATGTGAATATCCACTCCAACCTCCACATGTACATTAATAAACACTCCATATTTTTTTACTCACTCGTATGTAAATGTCTACTAATATCTTATGCAATAAAATTGATTATTAATAGAACAAACAAATACAATCAGATATATTCTATCAAGACACGTATGAACTTATATATTATTCACATGTAAATGAACAGTAAGTTTATATTTAAAACATTTTGGGTAGAATTTTTGACAATGATACAACGGAAAGGAGAAATTTTTTGTTGAGCACTAGGCATGATTCTATTGGTACATTGTTCTAGTGTATTTCAATTTTTGAATTTATCATTTATTCAATTTTCAGTATGGTGACGACCATTTGTACTTGGTTGACTTGACCAATGATAAGTAATCTGAATTCATTTCAGTTCTAGTTTAGCACGTAAAGACTTCTGTTCATGTGTTTTAGAATTTAGTTGATTTACATCATGTTAGTATGTCGCCACACCTTTAAACAAGCTAGCAACTATGAGGTGTGTCATTCAGTCAAGGTTCTCCGGTGAGACCTTACTTTTAGGCCGTCGGTAGCAACTTTTCCCACTCAAATGATAAATTTAGGCCAAAACAGATTAAAGTGGTTGAATAAAGTGATTTAGTGGGTTTGGTCATCCAATATTCGGCTGGCCGGTTTGGGAAATGCTCAAACCAAAGTATGTGGTCAAGTTTTTGAGTTTTTGTGTTGCTCCATTCATCTTGATCAAACATATTTGTTTATATTATATATAACCCTGAATATCTACATGAACTAGGCGGTTCCTAATTCTTAAAATATTTATGGTTCTAAATCAAATGAGAATTATAAAAATATTGAGAACCGTAAAGACCGATCTAATCCCTAAATTGATTTGATCAAAGGTCATTAACTTAAATGGCATATTTGTAACATCAACAAACTATAACATTAATTATGTCAAACTTGAAAGAATTGTACGAAACATTGTTGAGATTCATGACATGAGGCGTGAATATCTTTTTTTCTTCTTTGATCATACAAGTTTAAATATTTTTATTTTTAAACAAAATTAACCACTATTTTTAATACTTTATTCAATGTGATTAATCAAATATAACATTTTTTTTATTTTTAAACTAAAATAATACACTGTTTATTTGAATCTAATATTTTAACGGCGATAAAAAAAATTAATAGTTTGAATCTAAAATTTAACAAAAAATCTAATATTTAATTACAATAAAAAAAATTAATTAAACAACATCAATATACTTTTTTATATTTTTTAATCATTGCTATTTTCATATAAAACATTACAACTAATTTAACTAACATGTTATTTCATTGAGTGAAACAAAACATCAATATTTTGTTTCATGTCAACAATATTTATTTTTTGCATCATTAAAACAATGTATTGTCTCACTTCAGTAATCATGTCGTGTTTCACATCAATGATTTTCATTATGTTGTTTCATATTGTGTTGTTTCACAGGATGAATCAACAATTTAGTGTTTCACTTCAAGAACGTTATTTGTTTCATAGTGTGAAATAACCTTAACCCATGTGTAAAATTTAAATCATATATACATATTTATATACACATATAATCTTAATCCGTTTTACGACGACTATTCTCACAAAATAAATTAAAACCCATCTTCAACAATAGCTACTCTCCCAAGCATGGTGACTTTATAGGCCTCGTTGGTGAACCTCGATTTTGAAATAAAAATGCATCGACATTTTTTCTTCTCTTTTTCTTTTGAACATGCTTGTTGACTTCAATCTCCATCAAACTTTTTATACTTGCAAATTCAAATAATAGAGATAGGAACACTTAGAAAGAAAATATTTACACATATACACTTGAAAGAGAGAATTAACTCCATTCACCAAATGAGATCTTTGATGATAAAATGACCGAAAAAATACCATTCTACCCCTACTCAACCAAAATAGAAACTTAACTAAAACCCTTATATGAAAATCGTTAATAAGATCGGTTCTAAACCTTTTTACAAGTTTCTCTTATTTTCCCTTTTAAAAAAGAGCCACATAACATTTATTGGTCTTGTAGCTCAGTTGGTTAGAGCGTTGGTCTTATGAGCTGAGAGTCATAGGTTCGAGTCATATCATATCGTTATATGGATTTCTCTATGACGAAATATGTAAAGTTATCTCCACCTTGAGGAGTAGGTAAACTTGTTATATAAGAGAGAAATCAATAAAATGGTACGACAAGGCTCGAACCTACGACCTTCGGCTTATAAGGCCAATGCTCTAACCAACTGAGCCACAGACCAATGTATGTTATGTGGGTATCCTTTTTCTTCATATTGATAGTCCTTGATGGGAAAACTAGATAACAAATAGACAAGTGGATACTTAACCATAGTTCTTTGTTATTCAAATTGGCTACTTGTCCGCAACTAATTAATATTTTCCAACTATGGTGCTATTATTTGTTGTATAAGTAACTATTTTTTCTTTCTTGGACAGTTTTGTTAAAATTATACCTATTTTGTTACATCAATGACTTATTAATGTTTGAGTGCTTTATCAGTTGAAACCATTTTATTGCAATATTGATTTACGACCATGATATTAGGGTGCCATCTATGGGAGGACTAGATATTTTGTAAGATCCATGAAATCCAATCTCAATCTCAAATCATATTAAATCAAGGGATAATTAGAAAATTAACTAGTAATTTTGGTAGTTTTCACAAAAAAATAAAGCACATTTTCAATATTTTTCAAATCTTATCTCTCCTCTTTTCCAACTAAAAGAATCGGGCGAACACTTTGAAAAATTTGTCAAACACATTTTGAACATCCATGAATACATTGTGAACATTACTACATTCTATCGAAACCACAAGATTTTCATTGTGAACATCCAGTAAACACATTGCAACCATCTTATAAAATATATGGTTTTGGTACATAAATTTTTTATTACCAAAAAATCTTATTTCAAAACATAAAAACACAAAGAACATTATCAAAAGGTTGAAAAACATAAACAAGAACTTCAATAACATAATATGAAAATAAATTAAATTAAATGAGATTCCTAAAATAATGGGAAAATAAATTTAATTAAATGTTTTGTTGAGTTGTTAAAAAACAAATTACTAAGTTACCATTTTATTTTATTTAAGAAAATAATATTAATTATCTCAAATTATTGGTTTACATTAAATCTTACTTATTTTACCAATATATGCGTTCAGTTAGAAATGTGTCTGTGAATCCCGAGGGAGAGAATCATGGGTTAAGGAATATCCATGAGGAGACATCTGCAGGCCACGGAAGAGGGAGGGAAGAGGAATCTTGAATACTAGAATAAATCCAGAAATTACTACAACAGTGGAAACAAGGAGCCGAGGTCGGGGCCGAGGAAGAGGGAGAGGTATACAACATGAAATTCATATTGAGTGGAAAAAGTCAGTACAAGGGAGCTCAACGTCAGGCCGTAGACGGGGCAGAGCAAGGGGCAGAAGTCGTGATCACAATCCTGGGATGTTAGCGGCCGATGACAACCACATCTATTCCACCTACCTCATCTTCTATATGAAAGGGAGATGATATTAAGATGTTTCTTGCCTGTAAGCCTTCTAAGTTTTCTGGTGAGCGTGATCCAGTTAAGGTCATGTGTTGGCTTAAAAAAACAGAATTGAGTCTAAAGACCAATAAAAGCTCAAGATAAGATAAAGTGATGTTTGTTCTATCGAGATTGCACTCGAGTGCATTGTTTTGGTGGGAAATTATGATGAGTTCAAATTCAAATATTCTGGATACAATTTTTTGGGAGAATTTTGTTGCAAAGTTTAAAGTTCAGTATTGTCCTGAAGTTCCGATACGAAAACTAGAGGACCATTTTCTTCAACTAAAGCAGGGCAGTACGACGGTTCATCAGTATACTGAAATATTTCATGGAACAGTCTCGATTCACCGAGACATATGTTGCCATTGAAGGCAGCAAAGTGAGAAAGTATATCTGGGGTTTGGAAGCCAACCTTAGAAAGTATGTGATTTACAGAAATCCGGTTACATTTCCAGCAGCGGTTGATGTTGCAGAGATTCTGGAACAAGATAATAATCGACAATCACAAGAGAGAATTGGGCAGAAGATGATAGAGGATACGTTAATGGCTAATTTCCATAGACCTAAATTTGTTGGAACTATAAATCGTCCAACACAAAGGTTTACTAATAGATCGTGTGCCCGATGTCATAGAGTACATCAAGGGGAATGTAACACTAACCTACGAAGGTGTTATAAATGTCAGGAATCAGGTCACCTGGCCAAAGATTATAGAGAAGTACGACGATGTTTTACGTGTAGTTATCCCCATCATATTCATTCTAATTGTCCACAAGCAAAGAGATTGGGATCTGTTATTCTGGGGGCAATCTACCCAACCGGGGATCGAAGATCAACCGAAATATTGCTAGTGGCCATGGAGAGGTAAAGCGCGGAGTAATAGTGACGAGAGGATGAGGCTTTCAGTTGACGAGAGGCGAAGCTGAAGAAAACCCAGAGAGGGTGATAAGTACATTCTTTGTTAATTTAGTATGTGCCAAAGTCTTATTTGATTCTGGTGCAAATCGTTCATTTGTGTCGCCTTCATTTGTTGGATGTGCCTGTTTAAAGTCTGAGGTGTTAGATGATGCTTTGATGGTAGAAACCGCATACGATAGTGAAGTCTCGGTTAAGAAAGTTTTTGATGATTGTTTTATAGCAATAGAGGGGTGTGAGGTACACATTCAATTATTCCCTATGCCGTTACAGGAATTTGATGTAATAGTGGGTATTGGTCGGCTAAAAACGAAGCCAACATAATTTGTAATAAGAAAATGATTCATATAGATTTACCAGGGAAGGGACCGGTTATAATTTATGGCGATATACGAGATCTTTGTTCCAGCCTTATTTTTGTCTTAAAGGCTTGGAGATATGCGCATAAAAGGTGTGTAAGCTTTCTTGCTTATGTGATTGATATGAAGAAAGAAAAGAGCTAGATGGAGAATATTCTAGTCGTAAGTGAATTCCCAAAAGTATTGCAGAAGACTTGACAAGTTTACCTCCTGATCGATAGAGTTTCAGATCGAATTGATACCTAGAGCCATGTCAGTTGCTCATTCAACATATAGATTAGCTCCGTATGAATTGAAGGAGTTAATGTCTCAGTTGAAAGGGTTGCTCGACAAAGGCTTTATCTGATTGAGTACATCTTCTTAGCATGCATCGATATTGTTTGTAAAGAAGAAAGACGGATCGATGAGGATGTGTATCCATTACCATGAGTTAAATAAGTTGCCAATCACGAACAAGTATGCACTCCCAATAATTAATGATTTATTTGATCAATTGATTGGGGCTAGTTATTTTTCGAAGATTGACTTATGAACCGATTATCATCAGCTAAAGATACGAGGACAAGATGTGTCGAAAACAACATTCCGTACGTGATATGGTCACTACGAGTTCCTGATGATGCCGTTTGGACTTACAAACGCACCAGCGGCATTCATGGATATGATGAATAGGATGTGTCGTCAATATCTCGATAAATTTGTTATTTTTTTATCGATGATATATTGATATACTTTTGATCTGAGGAAGAGCACACGAATCATCTGCGACTGATTCTAGAGCTTTTGCGACGAGAGAAGTTGTATGTAAAGATGTCGAAATGTGACTTCTGGCTTCGAGAAGTCCAATTTATGGTCCACGTTCTAATGTGGGTATTCAAGTAGATCCACTCAAAATTGAAGCCATCGAGAAGTGGGAAGCACCGCAAACGCCAACAAAAATCTGGAGTTTCCTTGGATTGACAGGTTATTATCGAAAGTTTGTACATGACTTTTCTCGTATTGCTACACTGTTGATCGGATTGACGAAAAAAGTGAAATTCGAGTAGAAAAAAGTATAAATTGAAGCTTTCCAAATGTTAAAAGATAAGTTGTGCACTGCGCCAATTCTATCTTTACCTGATGGTATGAAAGATTTTGTGGTCTATAGTGATGCTTTGAAACTGGGTTTGGGTTGCGTGTTGATGCAACGCGGAAAGGTTATAGCTTATGCCTCAAGACAATTAAAAGAGCATGAAAAACAGTATCCTACTCACGACATGAAGCTGACGGCCGTAGTCATTGCTTTGAAGATATGGAGACATTACTTATATGGAACTAAGTGCCAAAACTTTACCGATCATAAGAGTTTGCAACGTTTATTCCATCATCGAGAATTGAATATACGCCAAAGACAATGGTTGGAACTGGTGAGTGATTATGATTGTGAGATCTTGTATCATCCAAGTAAGGCTAATGTGATAGCTGAGACATTGAGCTATAAAGAAAATAGCGGTATGATTAAAGCTGTCGCCTTAAGGGCGGAATTATTGCCGAACATTCACAAGGAAATGCAAAGTTTTCAAGATGAAGCTATGAAAGAAGATAAGATCAAGCAAGAGTGAATCAATGGCTTATTGATCGAATTAGTAAAGGACAGTCGAGAATTGTTGTGTTTCCAGAATAGAGTTTGGGTGCCACGTTATGGTAATCTCAGAGAGAGAATATTAAGTGAAGCTCACAAATCTTGTTTTTCCATTCACCCGGGTACGAATAAATGTATCAAGATATGAAAAAATCATACCGGTGACCAAGAATGAAGAAAAATATAACAAGGCATGTTGAGCAGTGTATGACTTGTCTACAAGTGAAGATAGAACATCAGCGACCTTACAGTAAGTTGCAGTCATTAGAAATTCCAGTTTGGAAGTGGGATCACATTACTATGAATTTTATAACCAAGTTACCTAGAACACCAAAAGGCTTTGATGCTATATGGGTTGTTGTGGATCGATTATCCAAGTCTGCTCATTTCTTACCAATGAAAGAATCGTATTCTATGGATCGACTAACGAAACTGTATATTGATGAAATGGTAACACGTCATGATGTTCCATTGTTGATTATTTCTGATCGAGACAGTCGATTCACACCTATGTTTTGGAAGAGTTTCCAAAGAGAAATGGGTTCACAAAGAAAGTCGAGTACGGCTTATCATTCACAGACCAATGGGCAAAGTGAATGAATGATCCAGATGCTCGAAGCTATGCTTCGGGTGTGTGTTATTGATTTTGGAGGATTGTGGAATAGCCATTTTCCATTGATTGAGTTCGCCTACAACAACAATTATCATTCGAGTATTCAAGCGACACCTTTTGAAGTGTTGTATAGGCGAAAATGCTGAACACCGTTGTGTTGGAATGAAGTGAGCGAGAAACAATTG